TTCTGACCACATTAATGGATTCATAGACCATAATTACATAGGTTCATAAAGGATGGCAATCACCAAATCCTGAAATCTTCTCCAGAATTCCCATAACCACCAACTTTCACAAGTATGAGTTTTGTTTGTGTGCTTGTTTTTCCCCCTCAAGCCTGAATGTCTGAGCCTTTAACATCAGAGATATTCCTTTGCAACTGATACATTTTCTATTAAAATGGCAGAAAGCTCCCATAACTCAAGCATGCAAGAGGAGTTAGGGGGTGGTTCAAGTTTATTCAAGTTTTCTGATATCAATCGCCTTATGTTTGATGTTTTCTTGAGAGCAGGGAAACTTCAAAACTTCCAGGGAAATTTGTGACATTTCAGCCTCGTTTTGTTGGCCCTCAACAAACTGCCTTTAGGACTTCACATTTGTTTTGTCACCTCTTCTACAGTAATTATGTCTGATAGGATAAGAAAACTAGGTTCCTTAACTGACCGTTTCCATTTTCATTTTTTCCTTGAAAAAATATTGCTTATCCCAGGTCCTGACTAAGTGAGTGTTGCTACTGAGTTTAGTGGGCTTTGGATCAGGCCCGAGGTCAGGGGTCAGCAACCTTTCAGAAGTGGTGTGCCGAATCTTCATTTATTCGCTCTAATTTAAGGTTTCATATGCCAGTAATACATTTTAACATTTTTAGAAGGTCTCTTTCCAAAAGTCTATAATATATAACTAAACTACTGTTGTATGTAAAGTAAATAAGGTTTTTAAAATGTTTAAGAAGCTTCATTTAAAGTTAAATTAAAATGCAGAGCCCCGGGGACTGGTGGCCAGGACCCGGGCAGTGTGAGTGCCACTGAAAATCAGTTTGCCTGCCGCCTTTGGCACATGTGCCATAGGTTGCCTACCCTTGCCCTAGGTATAGTCAAAAAGAACAGTGCATGACTACAAACAATTTTTTATTCCTTTTTTTGTCCTATGCCCTAAATATTTAGAGAGTTTCATATTTTGTATGTGAAATGGGCTTTGAAATCTCTTTCCGTTAGACGAGTGTGTGGAGAAAGTCAGATACCTTGTTCTTTCTTCAGATGGGATTTAAAAAAAAAAGTATGTGAAGGTCTCCAGTACAGTCTATCAGCAGATCAAATGAAAACATAATCATGCAAAGCAACCAGTAAAAACCCTTCTGAGTGCACCAAAGTATTCTCTCTGCAAGAGGCTTCTTAGAGTCGTGTGCTGAGAAGCATAGAACTTTGTACAGTGTGATTCGCAGTGCAGCCACAATGACACAAGTTCTGCACAAGTCCAGCAGAGAGAGGCTGAATTTAAAGGGAAGAACTGCCTCTATGGGTGAAAAATAAGCAAATATATTCTCTGAGTAATGTCCTGACCAGTGTCTGGCCTCCCTTAGAATATAAAATTACATGTTAAGGAAACTAGTTTTCTTTTTTTTTAAAACATCATATGTGTATGAATAACTAAAAATGTTCTGGTCAGCTTACTTGCATTTTAAATAAAGTGCAATCTAAGGAAAGTTAACTGAAGAAGAAATTAATCATTTTTCTTACTACATTTGTAAGGATGCGAAACACAGTGAAATATATTAGAATCAAAGGTTAGTATGAAAGACTGGTTTGTAAGCCCTATGCACCAGAGGCTCACCTCTTTCTCTGTTCATCTCTTAACTCCTTTTTCTCTCCCCAATCCCCATACTCTTTTTTTCCCTCCTTCACTGCTAGCTACTTCTTTCATTCTCACGTGAAGTGACAGAACATTGATTGGCCAGAAGTGTCTTCCCTCCTCCCCACATAGAAAAGCTTCAGATTTCTTACTTTGCTCCGTATGGGACAGTGGTGGTTTCTAATGGGGTACCTCTCTTTTTCCTCCTACCTCTGCCCTCCATTTTCTCCACACAAAAACTGTGGCTGCTATCAGCATACATTCCTCTACTTACATGCTCTGAAAGAGAGCTAGAGAGAAGGTTGAAATGGCAGTAGAAGAAAAAACAGGAAGTTTCCATGGTTCACTGTTACAATATTGAAGAAATTAATTTTTTAAAAAGCCCATCAAGGCACCTCTTGGGTTGCACACAAATGCTTTGCACCTTCTGCATATGTTGTCCAAATACTCTTGACTAGGATGAAAGTTGAAGCAAAGAGCTTTCTTTAAAATTAACTAAAATGTTTCTGTTCACAGTACAGATTAAATTAATGTTCATACCCTATATAGCAAATAACACTTTTCCATTGCAAACTATTACACAAAAAATACATTAAGAACATAATGCAGTTTGCAAAATCAAACACTAAAAATATAGGAAATTAAGGTTACCTGTGGAACCTTAAGGCATATCCAATATGATAGTCATTAATTACATGATCTCACTGTATTTTTGCTATAGAACCCCTGCACAGTGCATAGAATGGATGATGCTCACTTAATGAGCAGCTATTCAATATTTTGTTTTCTCCTCATTGTTCAATGGGTGTCTCCTCCTGCATCTTGGCTCCTCATCAGATCTGTCTCCTCTTTCCCCCACCCTCTTCACCTAGCCCCACTGGTCCTGATCTCCTTACTCAGCTGGTCCCACTTTGCACCCACTGGCTCCCTTTCCCCTCCCTCCACTGTTGCCTTCTATGGCTCCCGGTCTCGTTACCCAACCAGTACCAGTCTTCCCCACCACAGCTTCCAGTCCTAGTCTCTTCCGCCCCCAGGCTTCCTTTGTACTTATGTGCTTTGTGTTTTCATTATAGAATTACATGATTAACTATGGTAATCTTGGCTGGAACCATTGTTAAACAGGACACAAACAGCTTTCTGACTTGTGTCAGACATTAATTGCCGTTCAGCTATTTGAAAAGTTGTATAAGTAACACTTAAATTTTAGTTGGGTATATTTTTCTGCTGCTGTATCTTAGGTTGAAAAGAGCCTACACTTTAGATCTCTTGTGTTCCTTAAAATATTTGCTGACCAGCCAATTGGAATGAAAGGCTGTTATGTATAGGGACTGAGAGGCTTGCAGGACATAGTCATGTGTTAAGTTTGATCATATTTCAAAAAACAACTTCTCATCTTACTGCATCGTAAATGGATGTAGTTTTAATAATTTAAAAAACTATGCATTTTAATAAATTTCCATGATAAACCAGGTGGTAAGTTTCATAACGATAGACTGTTGGGTATAGTATATTAAAGTAGTGATAGCCTAATCCATTAAAAAATACTACTGTGCTGCATAAGTATGTATTGGATATATATGTTAAAAGAAGCTGTTGATATTGAGCAAGAAAATGCTACAGTAAATCCCAACCTTTTAATAATGTTGCTACTGGTATAATATTTAATGAAAACAGAAAACAGAGCATAATAAGGATTTTTGTGCAATATAGAGGACATAGAACCTGCCTGAACAGTCAACTTACTGAAACACTGGAATGTATAATTTTCTATATATATGTGTACTTTACCAGTAAATCATCTGGGTACTTTTCCGTAGATGAATTTTTGATCCTACTAATTTAATTCTTTCTATCAAAGAATCTCATTATGGTTTACAAACGTAATGAATTAAGCTTGGTGAGGTAGAGAAGTACCCTCATTTTACAGAGGAGTAATAGAGGCACAGACGTTTGTGACTTACAAAAGTTCTCATGCAGCAAGACCATGGCAGATTTGGAAGGAGAACCCAAACCCTTTTAGGGGTTGTCTAAACAGGGAGCTATTGCTGAATACTGATTCCTGATTGACTCTTCCTAATTAACTTCATGAGGGAACACTCTTATTCCGAAATAAGAGTGTCGTTTTCTGAAATAGCGTAATCCATTTTTTTTTTTTAGCCAAAAGCTACTACATGAATTAAACTAATTTGGGGTCTGACACTCTTATTCCAGAATGTGTGTTCAGGTATGAGTTAATTAGGAAGAGTTAATCTGCTTTAAATTTGCACGCTACCTTATTCTGAATTAATTTTCATGTTTAGACAAGCTCTGATTTTCTATCTTATACTTAAATTGATAAACTATGCTACTTTTCCTCCTGATTTGCCCCTTGTTGTTATTTCATATATTTTATTAAGCTTATGTATGCTATGTTGCCTTGTGTGTGTTCCATAGATATTAGGTATCATTTTGTTCACAAATGCTCGATTTCTGTAGTTAATCTATATTTCTTGCAGTATATAATAAAGGTTAAAAATCATCTTCAAAGGTTAATTTTACTCACTTAAAGCATGCTGCTTTTACCTGGTATTTTATCATTTGATAGGTTTTCTTTTGCAGTTTAAATAGTCTTGTAGGCTTGTGGATTTTTACTTTACTTGTGGATCTTATTTTTAAATGGCTATTTCAAGTCTATTGTTTGGATTACAATAATACCTAGAGTCAGCCAGCCAAGATTAGGGCCCCATTGTACTCAGCACTGTACAAACACACACAGATAGTTTGTGCCCTGAAGAGCTTTCTACCTAATTATAGGATGGGTGGGAGGAGAAATAGGGGCACAGACAGGTGAAATGGCTTGCCTGGTGTCACACAGCAGGACCCTGCTTGACCTGGGACTAGAAACTAGGTTTTCTGAATCACAGTCCAGTGCTCTATACATTGCATCTTACTGTCTCTCTGTGCCTTGGCACTCTTCCGCTGACATTCTCTCCCTCCAAAAGACAGAAAAAGAATAGTACAACAGATGCTACAGAAGGTATTCTTGGTATTTTTGTTATTAGCCCAACGCTTTTTACACACTAACTGATTCACTATTTTGGCACACTTACTGATGGGCTTGAAAACAATGTAGTAATTTATGTTGCTTAAATTGAATCTGCGTATATAGTGTTCAGAGAGTACAAATGATAGCCTTTTCCAAAGCATGTTGCTATTTATAAACCCTACCATAAAATTACTTCTCTTGATAGCAGCAGCAGCTGACAAGAATGCTTGCAATTTTGACATATTTGGTATAGCACCACAACATTCCATCTTACATTTCTACCATAACATGTTGTCAATTTCAGGTTAAACTTACTTTTTTTTTTCTTTATAATCTTTTCCCCTACAGAGTGTAGGAGAGATCCAGTTTCTGTAGCGGATGGTTTTCCTTGGGCTGTGCTCTTCTAGCTAGCAAGCATAAGTTCCTCAATTGCCTAGAATGTATCCTCTGATCAAGCATGTGCACACTGCTTTTTTAAAAAAATAAAGCTTCATCTAGAAATATGTGTTTTCTCTCCTATCTTTTCACACCCAGAGTCATTCTGTTCTGTACTGGCAGCTTTAAACTTAGACTACGTGCAGGACTGGCAACCCTTCCCTCTAACGAACTTTCATAATGTAAGGATAGGATTTAGCCTATTTAGGTTTTAGGACTTCTAGAAAGTTTGTTTTTTGTTTCTTTTTCTAAACTATTTAAATCATGAAATATATTGAAGGAACTGATTTTGTTACTTTGAGATTTTCTCAGCAATAAAATACAACTGTTATAGCAGATGCTAATTGGCTTTTACTGTTCAATGCCATAATATTTACCAGATTTTGCTCTTTACTGTATTTTTATACATTCATCTGGTCTGAGCTGGTGCAAAGTGTTCAGTGCTGGTACCTCTTCTCTTGACCTACATGTAATCAGAACCAGATACTTGTTCAGCTTCTATTTTCTTGGGAGTGAGGGATTTCTTCCAAATGGTGGTAATCTTCTCTTTGTTTTATGTATTTAGACTTGTAAATTTGCCACTAACATAATTGCAATTCCCAGCTCATAATGATGTCAGAAATTAAGTTCAGGTTATCAAATGCAAAGATGACACATGGCAGAATGATAGTAGTGTTGAATAATAATATAAAATGGCTCGCAGTATAAACTCTCATAATCTAAATTTTAGTTTTAAACTCATGCTATAGTTTGAAATACCCTGATATTCAGAGGTCATTATCCACTATAAAAAATGACTTTGGCATTGATTGCAACTACTTGCATCTATATCAGGGCACTGAAACTCATACCAGGGACTTAAATATTAGTGAACATGATCTTTGCAATATTTGTTGTTGTATCCTTGTTGTTAACATTGTAATGCATTATCTGTCCTTCTAAAACTAGCAAGTTATTTTAGTCAGTGCTCAAGTCATATTTAATGTTGTCTGGCTTAAAATTGCAAAATGTGATTAGATGGAACACAGACTTACTGTCCTTGTTTTATTTTTTCTTTAAGCACAAAAATCAGACTGGACTAGGGGAAAGTAAAATTTAAAAACAAAACTTCAGTGTAATCATACTGCTTTGTTTTAAGAAACTTTTACATATAGAATGAAAGAGAAATGTGGGTACATATTTGAAAAGTACATCACTCCTTATTTCCTTTTTAAAATTCTAATGTATTTAAAAGTATAGAAAACCCTATAAAGCTGTTTTTTATTGTAATCTTATTGAAATTATTTTTGTTAAATAGAAGATAAAAATGGCATACCCCTCTGATTCTCTGCATTGATTTCCTTATATAAAAGCTGGCCACCAAGGGGGAAAGCCTTGTTAAAGTTCTTAGTCACTGTGGCAGTCTTGTTCCAGAAAGAGAGAAGCCAGGTTGGACCACCTCAGGCCAGCTGTGAGTTGGTGATTTGTGTGTTGTGATTAGATCTGCTGCCATCAGTCAAGCCAGGTTGGTTACTGGCTACCCTAAAATCTTGTTTCAGAGCAGCAGCCATGTTAGTCTGTATCTGCAAAAAGAACAAGAGTACTTGTGGCACCTTAGAGACTAACAAATTTATTAGAGCAGAAGTGGTCTGTAGTCCACGAAAGCTTATGCTCTAATAAATTTGTTAGTCTCTAAGGTGCCACAAGTACTCCTGTTCTTTTTCCTAAAATCTTGTTTGATTGATTCTGAGGCTACGTCTACACTACCATGGTAAGTTGACCTACAGTATGCAACTCCAGCTACGTGAATAATGTAGCTGGAGTTGACATACCTTAAGTCGAGTTACCGTGTGGTCGACGGCAAAAACTCTCCTGTCAACTTATCTTACTCTGCTTGTCGGGGGTAGAGTACAGGAGTCGACTGGAGAGCAATCTGCTGTTGATTTGGCAGATCGTCACTAGACCTGCTAAATTGACCACCGGTGAATCGATCGCAGAGCGTTGATCCCGGCTGTAGGGTAGACATAGTCTTACGTGGGGCTTTATATTCAGGTAGACTATTCTCCTGTTACCTGCATCTGGCTTCATTCCTTGTCCTAAACCCACTCTTCCATTTTTTCTTTTCTTTTGGTTTTAATTAGTTGCCTTCCAAGCTAAGGTTGAAGCCACCTTTCTTCATTTTGGTATCTTACATAAAGATACACTGGTGGCTCATTGCTAAGTGCTGTGTGTATCTTGAGGTTTCTGGAATAAACTTTTGAATGGGTCAAGAAGAAATAGTTTTTCTATTCTAAAATGATGCCCCATTTGAATTTTGGTATACAGGTGAATATTTTGCTTGTCTTGGGGATCCACACTGCATATTTTTGTGTTTAAGGCACAGTTTGCAGGCTTCATCTTGGCTTTTTCTGTTTAGGTAGAATTTGATAAAGTGCTTCTGTGGATCCTGCTTTCTGATGACATACTTTTTCAGCTGTCCACAGGCTGTGAGGAGAGGCCGGATAGCTTAAAACTATTAGTATGTGCAGGGAAATACTTCATTGTTCAACATATGGAGGGTGGGGAGGCACATCTGTATTAAAACCCAGCATAGAATGGTGGTCCAGGTCACAGCATGATTCTTCAGTGCTAAGGTCAGATCAGTAGTGGTAGCACAATAGGTCAGGTGGGACTTTTTTGCATCATTGGCTGTGATCCAGAAATACCTGTAAATTCTATATTAGTAAGGTTAAAAAAATGCTAGCAGTCAAAATTTAGCAAGGGTTATCTACTTGGTTTTAGGTTTGGTCTCTTGGTAATTTGGTTATTTAAAGAGGAAGAAGAAAAAGCCATCACCAATTTTATCTTGAGTCTTTCAGTGTCTTTTTACTAGTGGCTTAATGTTGAGAAGTATGTGTATTTTTAAATCTATAACTATTATTTTTTTACTTAATTTAATACTACATCTTAAATGAAATTAGTTTCCAAAGTAATGACATGAATAGTACTGATTTACACTCCAATAGAAATGAAATGTTTTTTGCATTTTGTACAAGTTGGAATACTGAAGTTATGACCATACTGGGACCCCTGATTAAGAGCGTCTCCTCACTTGTGTTTAGGTCTGGAGTGATAGAACTACCAGGAAAACAACACAAATTAATCTACTTTTCAGACGTGAAAGTAATCTTTCTTTCTAAAATCACATTTTTAGAAAGTAATTAGATACTCTAATCACTGTTGATTAATGGCAAAATGTGCTTTTTCCCCTGAAGAAGGTCTAGAGACTTTCAAAATACCTCAAATTATATGAACAAAGCACATGCATTCCCTGACATCTCAGTTCAGCATGCCTTGCAAATTTGAAATTCAGGGAGAGGAGGAGGTGAACCATACAAAATGTCTGCAGCTGCCACTGAACCTTCCCCTACCCCCAATCAAAATACTCTTTGGCGTATGGGAATGTGCACTATGCTGGGGACCAGGAGACCATGACTTACATTCTACAGGGAGGCTGCAGAAGCTGGTAATAGAACCCCGGGTTCTAATACGGTAGACCAACCCTCTGTCACTTAACCATGCTGTCACCCAGAACAAATTTGATAGGCACTCAGCTATTTTGCCTGTAAAGCAGGGCTACTTTTGTATGTGACTTATTGTTCCAGTGTGTAAAGCATTCTCTAGAGCTCATTCACCAAAAAAAAAAAAAGGGGGGGGGGGAGGAGGGGCAGCTCTGCCAGTTATTGTAGGTAATCGTGGAGCATTTTAGGAAAATTGTGTGCTCAAGGTCCAGATTTCATACCATGATGATGAGGATGTATGCACACAGTAGAAATGAGGGTTTTTTAAATATTTTTAAATACTAGGAAATATCAGGCATACAAAAAGAATGTTATTAAGGCAAAGTCAATTACTCAAAAGTATACAAGAATTAAGGTTGCTTGTGCAGCCTTAATTGTGCTCCCTTGTGCATAAGCATTATGATAGTCTCTACGTGATAACATATTATGGGGTTGTTGTTTTTTTCCCACATCTGGAGTGCGTGGAGCTCAGGGAACGAGGCAACTTGTGTTTTTTTTCTTCCATCCTCATCATCTACGAATGACTATATCTACTGAACTAATCTAAAACTCCCAGCACTGAATAAGGAATTATTGATTTCCTTATTGGCTTTTCTGTGGAGCTCATCATTGTAGTATCTGCGCTTAACAAACTAATTTCTTTGCAATACCCCTGTGAGAGGAGGAAGATTTTTACAGAGTAGGAGCTGAGACACAGGATTATTAAGTCCAAACTTGCAAGTGTCTCCACTAATTTTAGGTGCTTCGGTAACATAGGGAGCAATTTAGGACATCATCTTGGGCCTCGTTTGTGTGTAGTGTTTTTTTTTTTAAAGAGGTACAGACATTTAACTATTATTTAGCTGCAAATCCTTCTAGGAAAATTGTTTCCTTTGGTTTTATTTACTTCTATTGCTGTCCATTTTGTAAAGTAGCTTGAACTGCTAGTATCAAAATCATATCTGTTACGCCTGATATTTCTAAAGCCATGATTGCTAACTATTTCCTCTAATTTTGGTAGTACTCGTACTTGATCTTACTAAAATATAAACTTTAAATTTTTGCTGTATGATTTATTAACTTGGGCAAAATAGTATTGGTCGGCCATTGCCATTGATATCTGAAATGAGTTGGTTACAATTGCTGCCATTCTTAATAATATCCTTTGTACTTTGATAGAGAATTTATGTCCCTTGAGGTTATTCAGGCATAATTATCCAAGCATAATCTGAACTGCAGACCTAATAAAATTATTCCTTGAAGAGATGTTCCCATTTAGTTTGCCCTCCAACTCACATTAGCATAGCCTCTGTTTGCATATGAATATTGAGATAAAAAATTATGAAACGTCACTTAATTGGGTGTGTGGGAAACCCACCGGTTCTCTGGGTTTCTTAATTTAAGAACTCACTACTTAAACTTGTACAATATTAACTGAGTAAATAAGGATTTAAACTGAACTGCCTTGCGGTCTTGATTATGGAGCCAGGACTATAGCTATGTAATCTGTACACATGCTCATGTGTAATTTGTGTGTGTGTGTGTGTGTGTTTATGTATCTGTACACATGTATATTTTTTCAATTTTTTATATTTGCTTTTAATGCTTGTACTTTGATCCTGAAGGCAAAACACAACTGTAACAT